CGGCGTGTCTGCCCTCCTGCGTGAGGGTGAGCAGCTTGGTTTCAGTCCCCAGCGCCGAGAGAGTAGAAGCCCTGTGCGGATTTTAATTTTCAAACCTGATTTACAAATTGTATTTCTCCTTATCAGTTTATAATACTTCTTTTTTTCCTTTTCTCTTTTGCTTTTTAAGAAGATGGCGTGTCAGAAGCACTTGGTGAGGAATCAAGGCGGCTTACCAGAGAACAGCTATTTCAGCTTGGTTTCAGTCCCCAGCGCCGAGAGAGTAGAAGCCCTGTGCGGATTTTAATTTTCAAACCTGATTTACAAATTGTATTTCTCCTTATCAGTTTATAATACTTCTTTTTTTCCTTTTCTCTTTTGCTTTTTAAGAAGATGGCGTGTCAGAAGCACTTGGTGAGGAATCAAGGCGGCTTACCAGAGAACAGCTATTTACAATGGCTGCAACAGCGATGATAAACTTTAGTTCGATGATATGCTACTCAGTCCTGGGACCCTTTTTCCCTTCAGAGGTAAACAAACAATTTAGCCAGCCGCTCTTCAGTTTTGTTTGTTTTTTTGCGTGTTGATACTTTTAAAAGGATCTTGAGTACTTGGGACCTTTTTGGCTGTTTGTAAACTCCGAGTGAGACTTTTGAGTTGTGATAGCCTGAAGCTGGCTAAAATAGATAAGAGTGTATATAACGGTGACCTGGCTCCTGTCCATGGACTAATTTCATCTTCCCTGTGGCTGCAGAGAAGACAGCAAACTGATGATAAGAGATAGAAGTTGAAATGGTTGCTGGAGAGTGAAATAGCTGGTTGTTTTTTTCTCAGTGTTGCATAGCAGTTTAGTCGTAGCACTGAGATTAAAACTCTGCCCATCTCCTGGCATGCATTTCAGTGCCTTAGCCCTCAATGACTATTTATAGCTACCTCTGTTAACTCATGTTGGGCCACCATTCACTATGTTAAACTTCCAGACCTAGCAACTGGAGGAAAAACACCCTCTGCTTATGTTGAGTGAATACACTGTTTAAATATAGGATGAAAAAAGCAGTCGTGGTGCCTTTGCAAGCAGAAGTCCATTTCTCTCATGACAAATTTGTTCCCAAGTATTAACAATGAAATGTTAGGATCCGGTTTTTTTTTAAATATTCCAGTGTTCAGCTTGTAGCTGAGTAAGTGTATTTTGCAAGTTAGATAAGGCAAAAATTTATCAGGCTCTTGTTAAGGAGAGGCATGATACAGTGAAAGTAAGAGATACTTCTGTTCACTGCCCTCTTACCATGTGAGGGATCAAAGATTTGTAGCTACTTCCACTGCACACCAGCTGAAATCCACTGTATAAAGGTTGATCACCTGTTCAGCAAACAGCACAGTGTTTCTGTTCATTGAGGAATGACTGTTGTTTTTTCCCTCGATTACATATAGCTTGAGTAGAAGTGCAATATGTCCTTAAATTGCTGTGTAACAACCTTATGAACCCCTACTACCCTTGAGAAAGGAAACTGCTTTGTACTGCACTGATACAGAATTTAAAAAAATGAAATGTACAAGGCATGCACATTATTAATTTCAAGAATTTGCCTCCATCTTTACATAGTTGTGATCTTTTTTTTGCAGGCAGAAAAAAAAGGTGCCAGTAACACCATTGTTGGCCTGATTTTTGGATGTTTTGCTTTGTTCAATTTCTTGACTTCTTTAATCTTGGGAAGATATGTAAGTATAATTGAAGTCATAAATTATTTCTGTGATGACACAGGTTGGTACATGAAGACAGTTCTCTAAGGCTGAGAAAAGTGAAGTCTCTTCAGCAGCACTCCTGCAGGCTGCTGTAACTGGAGCCTGGCCATCAGTCTGAATCTGACCTCAGTTTTGTCAGTACAATTTAAAAATTACTCTTCTGCAGTTATTGAGGGTAGCATAGGGTGGCAGACATGCAGCCGTTTCGTTTCTCTGGTTAACTGTTCTGTTTGATTCAGAATAATCTGCTGCTCAATTCTCCTTTCTATTACCTCCTTTCCCCCTACTTTCCATTTTATTTATTGTGCTTGCTTATATATTCTGTTTGCCTTTGGCAGTGTTCTTAAGGTTTTTTGTTTTGTTTTGTTTTTCTTTAGTTAGCTGCACCCTTTCTTCTTTTCTGGTATGTTGTCTTTTTCTTAACATTTCCCTCTGTTATGATTCTCTGCTGCTTAACTCAGGTTCCGCTTCCACTTCGTTATACAGTAGTATGATAGAAATGTCTCTAGTTCTTGCAACTTCAGTTTTCCCACACATTCGGGATTTTTCTTATGCTGGAGAAATTACAAATAAATTCTATAACAGTTTGTTTGTTTATATGCTGGAGCACCACTACCTATGTGTTTTTGGCTAGGGCTGCTCAGGATCTTATCCTAAGTTGGGGCTGCTGCAGTTTCACAGTCTTCTCTTTCTTTGGCTGAGCAGTCTCTTTGCTAACCCTATGGTGAATGATTTCCCCTGGTGATGAGGTGGCTCATCAAGGTGTCACACATGTGCCTCTGGTAAGTCCAATCTTTGCGCCTGTGAAGGTGTTCAACTATGGCACAACCATTCTTACCAAGTACTTTGCAGGGGAAAGGGAGAGAGTGAGTGAGCCATCCTCACCGCAGACAGGTGAAGTGAGTACCAATAAAGGTGGACAGTCCAGCAATCAGAAATCCTGAGGGTTTCAGTGAAACTCGCCAAAATATGGGTTGTAGTAATTATGGCTGAAACACAGGGACCTTGTCCAGACCTGAACAAGAAAATAGTCTGAAATACCTGCTGTCCTTCGGGGAAGTTACAGTGTGAAATTAGAAGCTTAGATGGACTTTGTTAAGGGATTGAGTTTTATGGCATGCCTCTCGTCGTCCTTCACCCTCATGATGGAGTCTGAAATGAAGGTCCTTTCCCTGGTAATGAACGAGGAAGCCTGAAACTACCATGCTTCCTATGCCTAAGCTTTATGCTATTAAATGTTGTGATAAATTTGCTTTAATATCAGCTTGTGTTGACTCTTGAGCCATATATGTGGCAGGTGTTGCTGACTTGGCATCACTGACAGTACTGGAGGGGGGGATGTGTTACTTTCTGTTTGTTTATAATAAGGAATGCTACTGTAACCTGCTGCTCTGCAGAAGCTGCAGTGCAGCGCTGTGTAATAGTTAACTGCACCATTGTCTTACCATTTGGAAAACTAGGTTAAGTCACTTAACCGTTTAGAATATTTTTAGGTTCAGTATTGCATGAAGGCACACCGGCAGGAACAGTGTCTCCAGATCTTTTAGTTATATATGCCATAAAGTGCCCATAATGTTTTGTTTTCTGAACAGTCACTTACTTTGAAAGATTTTTGATCTAGACTTGAAATAATAACATATAAAAATGTTGTTTAATTTACAGCTTACACATATTGGAGCAAAATTCATGTTTGTGGCAGGGATGTTTGTTTCAGGGTGTGTGACCATTCTGTTTGGGTGAGTAATTTTTGCTGGTTGGTTTTGTAGCATTTGTCTTCTATTCACTTTCATCCATATGAAAAGAGAGACACAAAATAAATCTGGAAACTCTTGGGTGTCTTTCAGGTGTTGGTTAGGTCACCTAACTTTTTGCATCTTTATATTTTACCTATCCCTTGTAAAGCAGAGTGAACACCTCATTTTCAGTAGGTTTCAAAGTCTGTTTAGTACTTTGAAAGCAAAGGAGGAAGATTCCACATATTTAACGAACTACCATAGCTGATGAACAGCAATAAGGAAACTATTTATGCATAATGTTTTAATTATTCTTTTCTTAAAAATATTGAGTGAAGATGAGAAGCTTTGCCTGGTAGGCAGGGAATCTAAGCCACTCATTTTAGCAAAATAAAAGTTTTATTAAAAATGAAGGAAGCTCTTATTAGGTGGTTGTAACTCACTGTGTCAGACTCTTTGCACAGTTGCTTTGAACAGCTGTGAAATAAACCAGAAGATGGCACTGGCATTTTTCGCAGGTTAGGTTTTTCATACTCCACCAAAGAAAGAGGAAAAGGAGAAAGTTACCAGAAATAGTTTGATAGAGATTGAATGACTTCACCGATGGGATTCAGAAAGATGTGGCAATAGAAAGCATTAAATGTCTTGTAACTCTGTCCTTTAATGAGTAAGAAATGATGCTCCAGGGCCTTCAGTAGATGACTTGTTGCCTCCTGAGAGATCTCCACTTACTGGTTCTTTTTTTCAGAATGCTGGACAAGGTGCCAAGTGGACCAATGTTCATTGGTTTCTGCTTTTTAGTAAGAGCAATGGATGCAGTAGGTTTTGCAGCATCAATGACAGCATCATTTTCAATCCTTGCAAAGGCATTTCCGAATAATATAGCTACTGTCCTGGTAAGTGCAAAAAACAGTGTTACAGCTGAGTATCCACAATATGATAAATTACCAGTAGGCAGCCTAAAACCAGGAAAAAATCTACTCTCTCTTATGCAGGCATATTTGAAATCCTCACATATTTGTTTCTAGTCTAGAATCACAATCCTAGAACAAGTTTAGACCTTAGCATAACTTCAATTAGATATAAATTAAGCAGTATATATTAGTTACTTATGTTTTGAAGACAGCTGAGCATTGATGGCAGTAGTTATCTCTTCAGTTGAAATCTGACTATTAAAATACTAATATAGTTTTAGTGACTACTTCTACATGGATGGTAAAAATCCATGTGGATTGACTCAAGAAATTGGATTAATTTAGTCAAATAATATTGATTTAAATGACTGAAAGATGCAAAACTGAAAATAATTCTGGTTTCATTTTTCTCATCTATTGATAAAAGTGATGTATGAGAAGAGGAGAGTTAAAACTTCTTGAAATCTGGAGGGTACTATTTCTGGTCATCAGTGATTCATTTCAACTAGAGATATTACACTTATTTAGCCAGTTTTTATGGTGTTAGGAAAAAAAGTTTAATATTTAACCAAATGCCACTTTTTCTTTTTCAATACATTCTGGTTTCAAGTACAGACTGACAGAAATAACTGGGTTAAATTTTAATGAGTGAACAAATGTTAAGAACACCCATCAGAACATTTAATAAAATTGGAGAAGTTAATGCTTTTATTAATATTGTTGTTAAGCTGTATAGTTACTTCTGTAAACAAATATCTATAAAAATATGACCTCCTAACTAGCAGAAAACTAATAAATTCTATCAGCAGTGAGAAGTTGGCAATTTCATTGGAAAGCAGGTTATATATTGTAGTTACATTTTTTGATTGACTCAGTCAATAAGGTTAAGATTTCCTGTTTGTAAATTTTAAAATGTAATTTCACACTTTGTGAAGGTTTGTACTAGCCATTATCCCCCTTAGTGATGTGGTGCCTTTTTCTTTTCACTAGGCTATGTTGTGCTGCTCCTTAGAAAAATTGATTGCTTTTATTGTTACACTAAAGTTTCTCAGCATTCTTCTTTTTGCTTGCTTTCTTTTTTATCCTTTAGGGCAGCCTTGAAATCTTTACAGGACTCGGACTGGTTCTTGGCCCGCCGTTAGGTGGCTTTTTGTATCAATCGTTTGGTTATGAGGTCCCTTTCATTACACTGGGATGCGTAGTGTTGGCCTTCGTGCCTGTGAATATGTGCATATTACCAAAGTATGGTAAGCACCCTTCTTCCTGTCTCCTTCGCTCACCTTAATCTCATGTATGTAACTATACTGTAAAAAATACATGTTTCTAAAGTCTGATACAACTCAGGTGGCAAAGCTCCTGTTGAATTTTAATTTGTGATGTTGACCCATGTTTTAATGTGAATTAAAATTAATATATGCAGATGGCCTAGAATCAATTCAACAACTCATGCCTATCTCTGCAAACACTGAGAACTGTGTGGAGGTGGACTGAGATAATTTTTTTGTTTTTTATCTCTAGCATCAGGGCTTCTAAAGGACGAGCTGTATCTTCTTTGTATCAGCTTGTCATTGCAGCTATTTGAAGAAAAGCTGGAAATAGGTTTTGCCTAGAACAGAAGAACTTGGCGTGTTTGAGGGGTAGCAGAGAGAGGGGAAAAAAAGGGGTTATTTGTGCTGAATGTTGCAGGATCTGATTAACATGAAAGAATGCTAAAGCTAGTAAGTGAGAGGTTTAACTGAAGTGCTGGAAGTCATATAAATTTGATTAAATCATAGATTTAATGCTTGGACAGAAAGCTAACTTAAAGGTAAGTTTTCACTCAAGATCATGATCATAAGGTTACAGTTCACAGGATCACCTAGAGCAGGTTGCACAGGATCCCATCCAGGCAGATGTTGAATATCGTCAGAGAAGGAGACTCCACAACCTCTCTGGGCAGCCTGATCCAGTGCTTGTTAACTCTCGAAGTAAAGAAGTTTTTCCTCCTGTTCAGCTTGAACTTCCTGTGTTCCAGTTTGTGACCATTGCCCATTGTCCTGTCACTAGGCACCACTGACAAGAGTCTGGCCTCATCCTCTTGGCACCTGCCCTTTAGATATTTTTTTTAAGCATTGATAAGATCCCCTCTTAGTCTTCTCTCCAGCCTGAACGAGCTCAGGTCTCTCAGCTTTTCGTCACAGGAGAGATGCTCCAGTCCTCTCATCATCTTTGTAGCCCTCTGCTGGACTCTTTCCACTAGTTTCTTGTCTTCCTTCAACTAGGGAGCCCAGTTCTGTTAGCCTTTTCTGGAATAAAAACTCGTAACTTTAAAATACATTTTTAAAAACTATTTTATTCCTCTTAGATATGAAACCTTGGAGAATAACTTCATAGGTACTGGCTTTTAGAAGAAACTTACAGTGGTTAACCATGTGCTGCTGCTGTTGGCTTCACCCCCACCTCCCTAAGCTCTGAAATTGTATAAAATCATGATATTGCTAGCCAGCTTGAAACTACAATAAATTTTAGCTCTGAGCTAGTGGGTGCTAATGAATGAACTTCTAGTTCTACGTATCCTTTGAGACTACATGTAACTATTAAAGCACCATCAGCATTAGGAAGGGAGCCTGCCTTAGAAATGACATCTAACCATGACATCTGAAAGAAGTTTATTGTCTGGAGTACAAACTGAACACGTAGGAGACTTGAATGACTAGTTGATTAAAAATTCTGACATATCTCAACTGATAAATAGCAATCTTCTTACTCTACTTTCAAAACATTTATGTTTTTGGATATGAGTGGTTCATGCACGTGTGCATGTTGTTTTGGGACGTAACCATGAGATCCCCAATTATGTAAGGACTAGTGGAGAAGTAACTGCTTTTCCACATTATTGGGAATAGTACATGCTTTTGTTCTTTTCAAGTTGGGAATATGCAATGTTGGAATCTAAACTGTGTACTTTTCTTCTTTTATTCACTTATCAAATATTGGTTTTAATATAAAAATAGTATAGTGCATAATAGTCTATTATTGACTTTCATTTGTTAGATAACAAGAGTAATAGGATTATAGAAATGGAAATAATGATTTCTTTTCTAAAACAAGAAGGTCAATTATGAGCTTATGCTGCTGAAAATAATGCTATTTCCTTCCCTTTTCTCCTGAAACAGATTCAGTCCCTAGCAAGGACTCATTTTGGAAGCTCATTCTTCTGCCGAAAGTCTTACTACTCTGTTTTATTATATTTTCTCTAAGTGCATGCTTGGGCTTTTTGGATCCCACAATGTCTCTATTTATCCTAGAGAAGGTAAGTCCTGTTAACATGCAGGGAAGTCTTGACTTGCTAAATAGTAAATAACTGTTTATGAACGTGGTTTAAATATCTTAAACAAAATGAAGCTACTCCAACTACTCTGCTTTAATTAACTGTTAATAATATGATTTCCAAATAACTTGATTTCCATAGTACTGACAAATCACAGTTTCCATTGACACCATCTGTTGTCGCTGGGTCTCGGTAACTTTGAGGAAATATAAGGCCTTTAAAAATGTGCTTTTTTCATTTATTTGGCTTTCAGCTGCAGAGTACCTTCTCTGAACAGGGCATAGCAGCTGGTTTTGTAAGCAAGGGACTTTTTTCTCCTTTCTGAAAGCAAATTCTGTGAAACTGCAGCAGTCACTGACAGTGTTCTATCACTTGATGTGGACATTTGTTTTTAGGGAACATAATGTCACAGCTCTACCTTCTCTTAGAGCATTGCCAAAATTAAACTTATTGCAACTATGTAGCCTGATAGCTGACTTCTTCACTCACTTATTAAACAGGAAAATGTAATTTTATTTATTTTTTTTTATTTTAGTATTTATTTGTTTCCTACTTAATTTTTTTATTTATTTATTTCCCATAGTGTTTAAGGTAATGAATTTGAAGTAAGGAGTTTAAGATTCTGTTCCTGTGTGAAATTAAGCAATGCTTTTTTAGTGGTTTAATAGGAATATCATTTCACAGGTAGTTATGCTCCTACTTTTTGTCTGTCTAGTCCAGTACTTGGAGAAGTCATCCAGGGTGGAGGAAACTTGGTGCTAACCTTTTCCATCAGTGAATGTGCATCTTGCACCACCAAGGAGGGATCTGTAATTATTCTACTGTAGGATATTGCACACTGGTGTGGCTGTTCTGCTTTCCATCTGCTCTGTGCTAACAGATGCTTGTGGTGCTTTGGCAGGTGTTCTAACCATAAATTAAGAGTTACTATCATGTGCTTGCATATTGCAAGGAAATACTGAATATTTATGTAGTCCATGCCACATGAAACATCTTGGAATACCTTCTAACTGGTAGTTAAAGCACTCATGTGAGAGACTAGTATGGTTTTGGCTCATTACACATTTTGTTTCAATAAAAAAAAGTGATTCTGCATTAGGAATGTGTAGACCTTAGGCTGTTTGCAAAAAGCCTCTTACTCATTCTCATAAAAATCCTCCTTTGTTTGAAAAGCCAGGTTTGTGTTCTGTAGCACTACTTACTTTTAAGATGCACTGATTAGTAGTGGAAGACTACAGTATTTATACTTTTCTAAGTGGAAATAAAACTGAAGATTGGAGCGGTAAAGACTAAATCCATCTAATTTTCAGCATCTGAAGTGTCTGTTTCAAATGTGTCAGATATAAATGTTAGAATCCAGTGTGCTGGTGTAGGGACATAGCATCGTGTTTCCTCCTGAAGTTACTTAGGCTTTATCTGAGTACAGTTGTCAGTTGTTTTCACTTCATGCTTAGAAATGTGGAAGGAAACTGGATGACTTCAAATACTTGAAAAACCTCTGTATGATAATCAGTAAAATACTTAAAATAATGCATTTCAGTATTTTGACCTAAAATGTAATTCTTGGATTGTTCTTCAATGAATGTAGCACATATGGTTTGTTTTGGTTTTTTATGTGTCTTCCTTTCCATAGTTCAAACTCCCAGCTGGTTATGTGGGCTTGGTATTCCTTGGTTTGGCACTCTCGTATGCCTTGTCTTCTCCCCTCCTTGGACTCCTAAGTGACAAACGCCCAGTGAGTACAACCCTGCTCTTTGTGCAGCGTTAGTAAAGCACTCTGTGCATTTAGTTAAAACTGTAAAACTTCTCATATTGAAGCAGTGGACGCAGGCTTGGTCCTGTAAAGGAATCTGTCTTTCAGGACCTTGCACATGCACTGAATACTGCCAACTTGAAAGTCTCTTTTGCAAGGTTCATGTGATGTCCGAAATAGTAAAGGATGTCAGACAAGTATCATGTAGTTGAAATGTGTTGAACTTTTCTGGTTTACTAAGCGCAATCTATTTCCAGACAATAGGGAACAGAGAGTGGGAAAACATGTCCCAGTTATCCATGCTTTTGACTACATCTAATCTTATCACCTTTTAGGAGGAGTAAAGATGTTCTGGTTAGCTGTATTGACTTTACATGTTAAAAAGTGTAATATCCAAATTAGATCAGCACACTGACTTGACTGTGGTTCTCCAGCTCTTAACTGCACCATAGAAAGAGGCTTTGACAGTGATATACATAAAACTGCCTGGTTGACTGCCACTGCTAATTGATCGAGGAAACCTACATTTTGAATGTTGTGCATGAAGGATGGTGCCAGTTTTTTTTTCCTGACACAAACTAATAATGCCCTTTGTACATGAGAATTACGTGCAATGCTATATGATACTTCTTATAGTAAGGAAGAACAAGACCTAAAATACTTTGCTAACAGAGAACCACTGTTACTCAGTATCCTGAAGCAATCTTGGTATTAAGCAGCTGCTGCCACTGATTGCATTGGTGGCAAGGAAACATAAATTCATTGTTTCTGGATGGTGTTCAGAACTGGCACAGAAATTGTGGGTTCCCAGTTTGTGTGTGATAATGCTCTCAACAGAAGCAGTACTTTTCAGGAGATGAAGATTTAGAGAGGGATATTAGGAAAGACAAAATGGTTACATTACAAATTTACATCTTTAAATTGCATACCTTTTCCTTTTCTTTCACAGTACCTCAGGAAGTGGCTGCTGGTATCGGGAGGCTTAATGACAGCAGTGTGCTTTTTCATGTTAGGACCTGCTCCTGTGCTGCACATTAAAAGGTACAGAACTGCCTCTTCTTGAACCTGTCCCCTTATGTGATATTTCTGTGATAGCTGTCATGACCATAATCAGGTATGTCCACAAGTCTATAATTAGCACCTCTTGTCATGAAACAAGTTTTCTTAACTTCTAAGATAAGACTATGAATGTAAAGCAGTGGAAGCATCTGAAAATGGAGATTTTACAGCTTCATAAAATACATACTTTTCCTTTGCTTTTTATTGTTACTGTGTTTTCTTATGTTAATGTGTGTGGTGGGAAGAATGCTACTTTTTGTTTTCCTTTCCTCCCAATTCTGTGGCATTTCCAGTGCAGCAAAACAAAGTTCTCTTTCTGTCTTATTTTTCAATTTCTCTATTTCATCATTGTTTCTTAACTGTGAGTTTTATTTGCATGACTGTGCAGCAGTGTTGATTTTTATTCTCTCCGTATATAGCTTACAGAGGAAAATGCCAGATTATAGCTATGTTTTCAACAAGCGAAGTAAAGATAGTGTCTGTTGTGCCTGCACGCTGCATTGCTATATCTCTCAAGTTAATTCACAACAAAACACTCTGCTACATTTACAAAACAGCTGTACAGTCCTTTTTGTCCTAGGTTATATACTGTGTTAAAAGATGACAGACTTGCTGATTTGTAAAATTAGTCAACTCCTCCCTCCTAGACTTCTGATTTTTAAAGAAAATCATACATGTGAAACTGGTAAAGTCTTGAACTTTCTTTTCTTTAGCTAAGTCTATTTGGCTGTAATGTATTAGGCTACAAAATTTAGCTGCACATCCTTCACTTGTGCAACAAACCAAGCCTGAAGCTCAGACCTAATTATTGCTGAGTTAAGCTCATCTGTGTACCTGCTCTCTCTATGTGTTCCTCTTAAAATGAACTGCATTTGATAAGGAAATATTTGAGCACAGGACTTTCAAATTGTTTTACAGAGTCTTTTTTTAAGGATAGAACTGTATTTTAGTGTTCAGTTCTCTTAGTGTTCAGTCAAAGTAGAGTTCTCTTTGGCTTCAAGAAACCTAGTTTTCTGGTTGGTCATGGAAAGCTGATCTGCCTGCCTTCAGTCAAATGTGGTCCTTACTTGAAAAGAGCATTCAGCAGCTAATGTCTTTTAAATGCCTCTCTTTTCAGTCAGCTGTGGATGTTTGTGCTAGTGTTGGTTTTGGTTGGCTTTTCCCTTGGCATGAGTGCTATTCCAGTGTTTCCAGAGATACTGCAATGTGCGCAGTAAGTAACACAGTCCAACACTTCTTTCATGTTACTGACAGTAGGAATCTGCAGCTAATTTTTGGGGATGAACATGAAGTGGGGTTTTGGTGTGGCTTTCTCCCCTCTTTTTGAGACAAAAGCACTGAGTAACACTTAAGTGCTTCCACTACTCTTTTGTCTTAGTTTTTTTTCTGACTGAGCACCCCAGTTACTATACTCCAAAAATAATTTTGTAAATGTGTACCTCAGTACTATGTACACACTGAAGTCATAGTGTAGGGTGACCTGTGTGTGGTTTCATATACATAGGATTTATTTCAGCTTCTAAGGATGATTAATAGCAAGCAGTTTTCACTGAATTTTCAAACTGTGTTGGCTTTAACAGCTGCACGCACAGGGATCATACTTGCTCAAAGCACAAAGTCTGTGATGTGGCTTGGCAGTAATGACCTAGAAGGGCCTTGATTTACTCTGATTAGTAGGTTCCTCTTGGAACAGGGTCTTTCTTTACAACTGACCTGTCACTGTTTTACACTTGCCGTATGAAACACAGGGAATGAGCAGTGGTGTGATGCTAGGAATCTCACTCTGAAGGCATCAGAGATGAGAAGTAGCACTGCAAAAGAGAGGCAGCAAAAAAGAAAGTACTGGGTAAACAAATTATTCCACTGTACACTTTTGCTTGTTAACTATGTTGTTTGTAAATTAAAAGGGGGAGGGGAATATTTCTTTACAGCAGAAGACTATAGACTGAGAGACAATAATACATTGTACTACTCTAACTGATCTGTCTTTCTGCAGTGAAAATGGATTTGAAGAAGGTCTGAGTCTGTTGGGACTGGTGTCTGGGCTCTTCAATGCAATGTGGTCCCTTGGGTAGGTATACAGTCACCTTTTTGTAAGCAATGAGCATTTAGTTGTTGTACACTATTGCTGGACAAAAGCCTGCTGCATTACAACCAGAAGTCTTGTGTTGCAGTCGTTGTGTTGACCTTGATTCAAAAGGTTCTTGCTAAATAGGTGTCTGGTGGACATGTTAAACTTTTGGCATAACAAAGGGAAGGTACTCTGAACTTGTGTTCCTTGAAATGTATCGCTCTGCATATCAAAAAGGTGCAGTGATTAAGTGGATATTAGCTTGCACTTCTCTGTGGCAATTTTTGTTGTCACTGAGATATTTAATGCTTAATATAGAGAGTGGTGGACCCTAATTTTTTGCAAAGCTAACGCCACCCATGTGGAGCAAGCTAGGGGGCATCTGCTCCTGACTAATTCTGTTTTCCTTTTCCCTTTTAAAATTTTCTACATTTTCCTCTTTTGTCTGGGATAGCTTAGGGTAGAATCTTCTCTCCTCTTTCAGCCATAACCATTATTTAAGGTCTATGTTTTCATAGCTTCGTAGTGTATGTCTGCATTTATTACCCAATGGTCATCACAGAAATGAATGAATGGCACTACTGCCTGAGTGACCCTTTAGAGTTCTTCAGGGGGAAGTGACAGAGTCCTCCTGTTGATAGCCACTTCCAGGACTGTTTTTATCTGTTCTTGTAGTAATCTGTGGCTGCAGGTGGGTTTCAGTGAAACAAATTTGCACCATTTCTTCCAAGCTAACTGAAGTTCTAGCTGTTTGGTTTATCTGGCATAGGGTTCAGTACAGATAGAGGTAGCATAAAGTTACCAAACCTCAGTTTTATTCTGTTATCAAACGTGGTTTTATTATGTGGCTTGCTTCCAGGAAGTCTCTCCAGTTTTACACATTTTTATCCCTTTCTGTAATGAGAGACCATATCATGTAAGGCCTTTCATGAAGTGCTGGGACAGCAGCTGCATAACCTTTCATGGCATTTAGACAGGCATAAAGGTACAGGGCAGTTACATCCAGCTGAACCTTGCAGCGACCATGTCAGTCACAATGTACCTTCCCCCTTGCTTGTATCCATCTTGAATTTTGGAAGGTTTACCTTTTAAGAGATGAGACTTAAAATTTATTTTATGGTAGAAGTAGTCTGTGTTGGTGCCCTGTTACAACATGGTCCTCAGTGGGGCCTCTGAGCCATTCCAGATACAGAAAAGAGTGCATTCAGCTTTCTGACGTGGATCCTATTTCCAGCTGAGGAGGTAACTAGACAGGTTTATTGGGGCCATGGCAAACAAAGAGTTAATACTTATTGTGGATTATAAGAAAGTTAGGTCTGTGGAAGAAAATATCTTTTTTGACAAAGGAGAGTGAATCAGTGGAGGGAGGCCACAAAACAATTTAAAAAGTTCTCTGAGAATATGGTATCTTTTTTTTGTTTGGGATGCCTGCCAATACCTCATTTTGATTTGTTGTAGGGCATTTACAGGTCCCACTCTAGGAGGATTTCTAAATGAAAAACTGGGTTTTGAATGGGCCTCAGCCATCCAAGGAGGATGGGCACTGTTAAGTGTAAGTAATTACACGTTTTTTGCTTTTTATATCTATTGTAATTATGAGCTATTGCATAAGGTTATTATTATTACAATTGTAACTGACTGTTTCTTCAAAGGGTCTTGCAACTGGAATATTCTATATCATTGAGGCAACAAGGAGAAGGTAAGCTGAGGTATCTATTTATTTTACCTGCAGCCACATAAAGTAAACCTTTGGAAGCTGTGCTTCCACTTTTTCCTCACTCCCAACCTGATAATGAATGACAAGACGAGTAGTAAAAATATTGCGTAAATACTTTGTCTGTATACTTTCCTACTGACCTAAACAAACACTTAAACCAGGCAGTGCCTGTTCTATACAAGCAACATTAACATGTGGCATTAACAAGCAAACCCTACAGATGGTTCCTCCAGGAGGGTGTCTGTGAGCTAGAACTGGCTGGATGGTCACATTCAGAGAGTAGTGGTCAATGGTTCAATGTCCAGATGGAGATCAGTGATGAGTGGGGTCCCTTAGGGGCCCATATTGGGACCAGTAACGCTTAATATCTTCACCAATGACAGACAGTGGGATCGAGTGAACCCTCAGCACATTTGCAGATGACACCAAGCAGAGTAGTGTGGTTGACATGTCTGAGGGACAGGATGCCATTCAGAGGGATGTGGATGAGCTCGAGAAGTGGGCCCATGTGAACCTCATGAGGTTCAACAAGGCCAAGTGCAAGGTTCTGCACATGGGTTGGAGCAACCCCTGGCTGGGGAGTGAAGGGATTGGGAGAAGGACTTGGGGATACTAGTGGAAGAAAATCTGGAGATGAGCTGGCAATGTGTGTTTGCAGCCCAGAAACCCAACTATATACTGAGCTGCATGAAAAGAAGCGTGGCCAGCAGATTGAGGGAGGTAATTCTACCCTTCTACTCTGCTCTTATGAGACTCCACCTGGAGTACTGCATCCAGTTCTGGAGTCCTCAGCACAAGAAAAACATGGACCTTTTGGAGCAGGTCCCGAGAAGTGCCTCAAAAATGATCAGAGGGATGGAGCACCTCTCCTATGAAGACAGGCTGAGGGAGCTGGGCTTCCCATATTGGGACCAGTAACGCTTAATATCTTCACCAATGACAGACAGTGGGATCGAGTGAACCCTCAGCACATTTGCAGATGACACCAAGCAGAGTAGTGTGGTTGACATGTCTGAGGGACAGGATGCCATTCAGAGGGATGTGGATGAGCTCGAGAAGTGGGCCCATGTGAACCTCATGAGGTTCAACAAGGCCAAGTGCAAGGTTCTGCACATGGGTTGGAGCAACCCCTGGCTGGGGAGTGAAGGGATTGGGAGAAGGACTTGGGGATACTAGTGGAAGAAAATCTGGAGATGAGCTGGCAATGTGTGTTTGCAGCCCAGAAACCCAACTATATACTGAGCTGCATGAAAAGAAGCGTGGCCAGCAGATTGAGGGAGGTAATTCTACCCTTCTACTCTGCTCTTATGAGACTCCACCTGGAGTACTGCATCCAGTTCTGGAGTCCTCAGCACAAGAAAAACATGGACCTTTTGGAGCAGGTCCCGAGAAGTGCCTCAAAAATGATCAGAGGGATGGAGCACCTCTCCTATGAAGACAGGCTGAGGGAGCTGGGCTTGCTCAGCCTGGAGAAGGGAGACTTTGTTGTAGCCTTTCGATACTTAAAAGGGGCTTATAAGAAGGATGGATACAAACCTTTTGGCATGACCTGTTGTGATAGGATAAGGGATAATGGCTGTAAACCAAAAGAGGGCAGATTTGTACTAGATACGAGGAAGAAATTTTTTACAATGAGGGTGGTGGAGCGGGTTTCCCAGAGAGGTGGCAGATGCCCCATTCTTGGAAATATTCAAAGTTGGGTTGGGTAGAGCTCTGAGCAATCCATTCTAGTTGAATATGTCCCTCCTTACTGCGGGGGGGTCAGACTAGATGACCTTTAAAGGTCTGTTCCAACCAAAACCATTCTGTGATTCTGAAAAGACAAGTGTGAAAGCAATAGTGCATGGTTCTGTGCAATAGTGGGGAACCAAATCCAGTGATCTACGTAACTCCACGTAACGCGTGGCTTTTTTGCTATAATGTTGGTATTGCATAGAAGTAGCTAGAGAATATTAAACCTGTTTCTTCCCTCCTGTTCTTTTCCTTTTGCAAACAGTTCCAGTTCCAGCCTGCAAAATCCTCCTAGTGATAATGAAGAAAGAACTCATCTGCTGGGTAGCGAAACATAGCCAGGCATACTTTCAATTCTGTGTTTACTGTTGTGGTTTAACCTAGTGTTCCGATGAGTGGACTGAACAGCGCTTCATTATTCTGGAGCTGGGCTACATGATCCCTTAGTGAACAACCAGTTGTGGTTTAGTTGTATCTGCATTACTGTTTTGAAAAACTAAACACTGACTGCCTTTCTTTTGGAAGTACTCATGTAGATTGGCTGAAGTGATGAGTAACCCTCAGATGTCAGCCTGTTTAATTGTGTTCCACATACAGTGAACCACTGTATGCGAAGAGATGTGTTTTCACGTATCTGGTTTCTATACTTGAGCCTTCTGTGCATTATTCTTGGGTAAAGCTACTATTTTGCTACCATGTTTTTCTGTATTTTTTTAAAAAAAGTTAATTATCTTATAATACTTTAACTGATAACATAAAATGTTGAAACAGAACTTGACATGACAAAACATTAAGCACAATATTGTTTTCAATAAAGCAACATTTTTCCTAAGTCATGTGAATTTTCTTAGACAATAAGAATCTAAAAGACGTTGTGTCTACCAGCACTTGTGTTATCTTAAAAGTGCCTGAAAAGAGGAGGCAAATGTGATGAAGACTTAGCATCGTGTGTGTATACATACACATGTAGACATATGCATGTTTGTATTATGTATGAAGGCTCAGCTTGGTATGTGTGAGATATGTTTTACTAATAAATGACAACTGAAATGTTTGTACTAATTGTCTCTGCACCAGTAAATCTGTCAAAAGTCTAAGGCTACTATTTTCTAACAATAGGAAAAAAGTCTTCTCACCTCTTCCAGATGCTGGACAATAAAGGGCAAGGAGAACTGAGACAAGGGCATGCCTGGCAAACTCATACTAGGACTTCTTGACCTCTGTTCTGGCAAAAGTCTTCTAATTTGTCCTGAGTCCGGAACTGTGTTCCAAGAGGGCTTCTCGGTGGTACCCGGTACATTTCCATAAATGAGAAAAACGAGGAAAAACCCAATTTCCTATTAGTTTCTCTTGTAACTACTGGAATTTACATGAGAAATATTCTTTCTTTTTGGGGCACTAGCAAGAAACACTGCTCTGAGAGCCAGCTGAACTGTGAAGCATCAAGGTACCAAAAGGCAGCCTTCCCCTGGGACCATCCTGGCAATAGCTTCCTTTCCTTTTGTATCAGGTGTTGGACTTCGCTGAAACCAAGAATGTTATACCTCAGCCTGTTATGAAGTGCTGATCCTGCCAGAGCCGATGGAGGAGGCAGGAGAGAAGGAGCTGAGAGGACTAGGGGTAGATGCATGATGTAGATCTGTAGTCAAGAGACTTAATTAGCTCTCTGTAGAATCACTTGTTCACTTACCTGACATGTGGTGTGAGAACTTGGATGTGGCTGGGATTACTGTAAGGAGCACAAATGTCACTAATTCAATGAGCTGTCCTGCAATGTATGAGCTTCACCAGAACTCCAGTAGAAACTAGGCAGGCTTAACTAACCCCTCTAGATTTCTGGCAACCCATCTCCTCCCCTCTTCATTCTTTCACATACACAATGGAGGTGAAAGAAACCTGAAGAGGAATCCCAGTTTCCAAGTTTATTGTTCAACTCATAAGCATGTTCTTCTTCCATGATTATCCAGGGGTCCTGGATGCATGGTTAAAGCCGAGCAGTGGGCTCTCCTAAGCTAAACTCGGCAACCCTCTGGCTAGTGCTGTGCTTGCCTCATGCGGTGGCAGGTCTAAATACCCATCTGCTATTACTAAGGCAGTTGTACAATCTGTGAAGCTGGGATGAGTAAGGACTGTGCCAGGTATAGCCAAGCTATACTCAGATCGATGGGAGCAGCCCTAAACTGAGGTGGCACAGGCAGTGTCCATGCAGCAGCACCAAACTCGGGGCTGGCCACCTGCCTCCTGCACCCAACCTGCACCCCGCGCCCTCAAATCTGGGCAGGAATGTGTTCATGCCAGTATTTGCTGAGATTTCCCAAACTCTGGCTTGTTTTCCTGCTGTGACCTGGGCTTGCCCTGGGTCATTACTACAGCATTGTCTACATTACTACAGCAATGCCACACCTGAATGGTTTGTAAATCTGGCATGTGATTCACTTCTTCGGCTGCAGCACAGTGGTGACTTCTCTGTGACTTCTCTGCCAGTGGTGTAAGGCAGAATTGCTCAATGCTGGCAGCTTGCTTGCTTTTGATGTGAGACTTTCCGGGCAGGGTGATTGCATCTCCTGGTGTCAGCTTTCTGCCATTCTGGGGAATTCCCAGGTTTTGTGCAAAATTTCCCCTTTAAAAGCCCCCTGTCTTTGCTTGCTCCTGTCCTCCTCTTGGATGGCTTTCAGACACCAGATATGGGGCTTCCTAGAGCTCATGCCTTGGCCATGCTTTTGGTGCTGTCTGCTCTGGAGGCCTGTGCCCTGGACAGGTTCATCGCAGCCATCTATGAGCACAGTGTGGTCTTGTCAGAGGACATTGAAGTGCCTGTTTCTTCTGAGGAGGCCTTGATGCTGATGGAGAAAAATATGGCAATTTTGAAACTGACCATCAAAGAAGCAGCCAGACAGGTATTATGACAGAGTCAGAGACATTCATTTTGGTAAACACTGATCATTTATTCATTTTTAATGGTGTTTTTTGGGTTTCTATGTTGGTACCAGGGTGCCCATATCATTGTGACTCCTGAAGATGGCATTTATGGCTGGGATTTCACAAGGGAAACAATATACCCTTATCTTGAGGATATTCCAAACCCATAGGTGGACTGGATTCCATATGCTGATTCTGGAAGGTATCATCCCTGTTGTGCACAGGGAATGGTCTGATGAGAAAGACAGCTACCTTTAGAAGTGGTTGTTTATAGTTTTAAATGTCTTGGAGCAACTGAAATGAAGGCAGATTAGATGTCATGTAGTTGCCATAAAATAGCTTCAGACAACTTCCTTCATAATTTTTCTCTTGCTTGTTGTTTTGGTTTTTGTTGTTTTTTTTTTCTTTTTTTCTTGTTGCAATTCTTTTGATTTTAATTAGTATACTCATAAAGGTTGAGATTTATTTAAAAGAAAAACAAAAACTTACAGAATCTACATTTCAGTAATGTGTTCCATGCATGTTGTAGAAAACAAGATTAAGATACACAAATATTAGCAATATTTGTGAATAAAATAACAGCTACTACTGAAAGGATATACTGCACAATTTCAGTTTTGTATTTTTGAATCATGATGTGGTAGCCTTTTCATTCTGTTTTTTTCCTAACAAATTGCACCATTTTTTGAAGCTGCAATATTTGATGAAAGATAACAAAATACACCATAGAAGAAACAAATCCTAAGCCACCTCAGCACAGCAGGCCAATCGAACATCAGAACAGCTGAGATTATTAGCCCACGTGTCAGTGTAACATCAATGCTGTGTCACACACCTGCATCAGAAGGGAGACTTGAAGGTGCAAAGATTTGCTTTCACTGCAAGAAAACCTCTGTGTTTCTTGCTTAGTTAATGTGAGGTGAAGGCAGAGTTTCTGCACACTAAGCTTTGAAGCACAAAACCAAAGCACAATTACAGAAGACTACATTCTCATATTAGATATCACAAACATATCATTCTTGTGACTTATAGTAAGTGTTGGCATTTTTATGGATTGACTGTTTTTGATGTTTTATTTCCTTTCTTCCTTTCCTGATGTTCAGGTTTGCTCCTTCACCCGTGCTGGAAAGACTGAGCTATTTGGTGAGGAATAACTCGATCTATGTGGTTGCGAATATAGGAGACAAGAAGCCATGTAATTCCAGTGATCCATGGTGCTCCAGCGATGGTCGCTATCAGTACAACACTAATGTTGTCTTTGACTCAGAAGGGAAACTGGTGGCTCGTTATCACAAGGTGAAAGGATTTTAGAGTGTTCAGGAAGTGCATGGTCCTCAGGTGATTAAAGATGTGAAACAAGCTGCTTCCTATGCTTAAATCTGTACATAGAGTCATTTTAGAGCAAGTGTCAGAGGGCAGGCAAAAGCCACTGCCTTAAGATATCTTCATTCAAAAAACTGAATTTAATAACAAGTAATTAAATGAAATTATTTAGAACTCAATAAGCCCTCTATTTTTACTGCTTCTTAATAGGAAGTGACACATGAGATATTAAAACATTAATGTCCTAAACTCTTGCTAACTGAATACAAATCCCCTTCACTGGTATAAATCAGAACCACGAATATTTGTGCTTGACTCCTCTTGAAGTAGTTTGAATTCTCCTTTTTGAAATTAAGATACAGCATGTTCACAAAACATATTCTCCATTACTTTAAGTGACTATTATATTTAATATTAATCATATTTAAATGGTTTTCTTTTCTGATCTTTTTTTTCTCCATTCCTTCCTTTCCATGAACAGTACAACCTTTTTGTGACAGAGAAACAATTTAATTATCCCAAGGATCCAGAATTTGTGACTTTCAATACATCCTTTGACTACTTAGGCATTTTCACTTGTGCAGACATACTCTATCATGACCCAGCTGTGGTCCTGGCAAGCAGTTTCAGGTTGACACCATTCTGTTCCCAACTGCTTGGGATAACACGCTTCCACTGTTGGCAGCAGTCCAGTTTCACGCAGCATGGGCCATGGGAATGGGCGTCAACTTTCTTTCAGCAAATATTCTCAATTCCACTTTTGAGATAACAGGTAATGTGAAATTACTCTAATTGATCTTGTTCATGTGAGCGTTTATATCTATGTAGTGCAGTTGACCAGAGCAGAAATTCCCATCAGCTTTAGGCATGCATACACATTTCAACAGGATTAGGACAAGAGAACTTGCACAGATAAAAAAGAAATCAAAATGTGATATGTAAGAACTCAGAAGTGCTTGACTAGAACACATTTAGTTATTTGTTAAATTATCAGTTCTGAGAGGTCATGCCTGTGATTCTCCATCTCCCAACCCCGGTGTTTACCAATGTTTCGGTCATGTAAAGGCCCAAACTTTTTTTTCTCCACTAGGTGGAAACCTAACTCTGAAAAAGGCTCTTGTGAGTCCTCCAAAAATTACTTCTGGGCCGGAGACCTTGTGTCAAGTATTCTTTGCAGGCTCAGGAAAAATATACGGTGGAAACAGAGCCTGCAAAGAATACTTCAAGCTAGAAGAAAAGCACAAGTTTTGTGAGCATATGCTTGCAGAAGTGAGAGAAACTTACTGGTGTTGCTAAAATGTAGCCCTAAACTTTGCCTTCCAAATAAAAGCAGATATAGGCTGTTCCTTTAGTTCCGCCGTTGATGATGCTATATCATATACCTCATCTTCTTTCTGGATAGGTTTTACTCTGGACTTTAAAAATTTATGTTTTCATGTAAACAACTTGCATAAGGTTATAACTTTTGGTAGTATCTTTTCCTTTCAAAATTTGTTTTACTTGACAGTATTACCTTTCATTTTAAACAGAAATAATGATTTCTAATCTAGCAAAACTCAATGACGAATGTATACCTTCAGCCACT